CACAGCAATAGATGCATATCATGTGTATATCATCACAGTTCACAATAGATAACTTTTAGGAACAATCCAAATACCCATCAACTGATGAATGGATAAAAAAATGTGGTCTTTTTTTAATAAAACACAGTACTATTCACTCATAAAGAATAAACTTGAGACATTTATAGCCAAACGGATGGACCTTGAGACCATACTCTTAAGTAGAATTGGACACTTATACTGTGTATTATCTCTTTGGTGTGAGAAAGTGAAAGCATAAATAAGAACCAAAATGAGTAATGTTAGAAATAGGAAAAAATTGTTTGAAAAGGAAGGGGAACTAGGGAGAGGCAGGAAGAAAGCTAGCAAGGTAAAAGAAAATGAGAAAAGAAGGGCAAAACAGAAACAAAGCTTTGTAAATAAGGAGAGGACAAGGGGTTGAAGGTAGGGGAAGGTAATAAGAAAAAAAGAGGTACCAAGATATATCATATACAGGTACAAATTCCTATGATAATTATGAATCATTATGTATATCTCACTGATATCAATAATGTCAATAATAAAAAACAATAAAAATCTTCATTGTTCTTATTGTTATTCCCAGTCACATATATTGCCAATCTCTGTGCTTATTGGTAATTTTCCTTTTAGGAAAGGAGACTACATTTTCCAGTCTTATTTCATTAATATTTTATAAAAACAGAACAATTCCTCTATAGGCTACACATATCATACATTTAAAAAGAAAAAAAAATTCCAGTGTTAAACAGCTGCAATTTCTATACAAATATAGATCCATATATTAAAGCTAAGTGCATTTTACACATAGTAAAATCCCTAAAGCAATCTTAAAATTTAAATGTGCTCATGTTTTATTTATATTTGAGCTGAGATAACAAAACAAATCTAATGATACAGCAATGCTAGGTGGGAGGAAGATCCATTTATTTCAGGCTCATTTTACCTGTTTCATTTTACCTACTGGAAGTTATTGGACCTGATTTCAAAGACATTTATGACAACAGAAGGGAGGCAGAGACCTATTCAGCAGGACTCAGGTCTTCCCAAATACTCAAAAAATGTCATAGTCTCTGAATATGTAACTGTTTAGTGTTGGGGGTTGAAGAACAAAGCAGTGTACATAAGCAACTGATTTTCAAATGTTAGAAGTTCTGATAGCTAAGTATGAGTCAATGTGAGTTCAAAGGCTTTATATCAAAATATGAGTTCAAAACATCTGTATATGACAACCTATTCAGAAATACATACATGACTATAACATATTTAAGGTATTTAAGTTTTCAGTTAAAATGATATTGAAATAAACTACAGTCAATGACAATTGTAACGTCCCTATATAAAATGTATACATACACATAAGGCAGAAAATGTTTACAAAGTATTTATCTGATTAAAGGTTGATATCCAAAATACATAAAGAATTTAAACAATAGTAAGAAAACAAACAAAACATGAAAAATGAGCATAGCATCTGAATAAAAATTTTTCAAAAGAAAATACAGCAATAGTATATGAAAACATGTTCAGTATCAGAATGAGATCACATCTTACACCTGTGGAATGGTTATTATTAAAAAGAAAAAAGATATCAAAGTGTTGGCAAAGATGTGGAGAAGGGAACCCTAGTAATTGTTGGTAGGATGGTAAGTTAGTTCAGACACTGGGCAACACAGTATGGAGGGTCCTCAAAAAATTAAAAGTAGATCAATCATCTGATCTAGCAATTCCATTTCTGGAAATACATCCAAAAGAAATGATACCAGTAAGTTAACTTAATAGACTTGATCTCTGTTCTTTTCCATCCTGCAAACCCTTACCAAACAAACCTTCTTAAAAACTCAGTTTGATTATACCACTGTAAGAACCTAGAAATCTATCACTAGTTGATGAAGCTCAAACTCTTCATCTTGGTTCCCAAAGTGCTTGTGCATACAAAGCACCATTCTGGTCTTAGATCCCTATTCACGTCCATTCTGACTGTGGCTCTCTTGCTCTTTAGATCCTTTATGATTTGGCCAGAGCAGTTTCTTTCTGCCCGTAGTCCTTCTTCATAAAAACCTACTCCATCACTAATATCAACAATATAAACTACCTATTCTCTGCCAGCGTTTCCTAACCACAACACACACTCTCATTTATCCTTATAATTCAGTAAAAGAATTTATCTTTATTTTGTCTATGAGAAAAATAAGACTATCCAATATGTGGGCTATTTAAATCCAAATCTCATGTTCATCTGGATTGTACAGCCCATTTCAAATACAACTTTCAAAGAACTTTTATTTATCTTTACAACCACACAGAATCTCTCCATAAACTTGAATATTAATTTAGAGGCATTATAGAAAATAATCTAATTTGTATTTTTTTAAAAAAAATACACTTAACGTATCCTTTTTGGCAAACACTACCTAGAAGAGAGAGGTTAGATTTTGTTTTTAACATGTAACTTGAATTTATAATCTAGTCAAGTTGCTCATGATACCTCTCAGATTTTAGGATTTAGATCCTAGTCATAAAACACAGAGTATACATCTCTTTCTCTACACACACACACACACACACACACACACACACACACACACACACAGGTTCCCAAAGTGCGTATGCATACAATATATATATGTTAGTGATATAACTGTGATATAATACAATATAACTGATTCATTTGGCAACCAGAGAAATTATAAATTTGTTTCTCTTTTACAGTCTATCACTCCTTCTTAAAATTGTTAGTATGGAAGTGTTCCTACCATAATTTTGTGCATATACTGTCATGCTCATTAACATGATGAAAAAAAAATAGAAAACTAAAAGGTTGATAATCTTAGAGAATGGCAGGCCTCTTGCCTCATCAATATCACCACAAAAAAAAAATTTTTTTTTTTTCCCTTTGGGTGTAACTGGGGATTGAACTCAGGCCCTTGCACTTGCCAGGTGAGTGCTTATTCTACTGAGCTAGCTCCCCAGCCCACCACAAAAATTTTAACTTCTGAAGTTTTCTTCAGAGTTGTGAAAATTATAACAGCAATATTTTAGTTACATAGATTTCAAAATTTAGAAATTTTATAGAAAATAAGTTAATAACAGAATGTTATGTACTGTAGTACTTAAAACGTTCTCATTTTCTGAATTCAGTAGCTCTATTTTCTTAAAGTGCTTTGCATTTAAAATTATGAATCCTGTCTGTCTGTCTGTCTGTCTGTCTGTCTGTCTGTCTGTCTGCCTATCTATCTATCTATCTATCTATCTATCTATCTATCTATCACAAACCTTTTTAAAGGGCCAACTAAAATGTTGCCAAGGGATATGAGGCTACCTTTAGTTCAACAAGCAAGAGGAATTTAAGAAATAATGAAATAAAATTTCAAATACAGCACAGCATCAGAACTATGAATGAGAATGACTATTCACTGCTGCATAGTCAGTGAACAGCAGAAGGTACACATTGGTACACTCTGTCTGTCTCT